GTGAAGTATGCTTTTGGAATTTCAACTGGGATTGCATTGACTATATAGCAGTTTTGGAAGTATGACCATTTTCACCATATTGGTTCTTCCTACCCAGGAGCAAGGGATGTCTTTCCATTTTCTGATACTCTGTTCCATCTTTTTTCAGAGTGCTATAGTTTTCAGAGTAGAGGCCTTTGATTTCCGGCACAGTTTGTAATAGCTAAAACTTGGAGACAGCTCAATTGCCCACTAACAGGAAACTGGACAAAGAAAATGTGTTTTTTTTTGTTTTTGTTTTTGCTCTTGCTGCTTTTATTCTTTCACCACTGTCAACTGTTGACCTTCTGCCATGTGCCACTCTGCCTTGGAGCCAGGTGATTATGGATGAAACCTCTACACATTAACTCAACAAAAATTTAATGGAAGGCTTTTCAGCAGGTTTAATAGATGACGATGATCTCTATTGGCAGGAAGTCCTTATTATTGGTCCTCCTGATACACTTTATGAAGGTGGTGTTTTTAAGGTTCATCTCACTTTCCCAGAAGATTATCCCCTCTGGCCTCCTAAAATGAAATTCATTACAGAAATCTGGCACCCCAATGTTGATAAAAATGGTGATGTTTGCATTTCTATTCTTCATGAACCTGGTGAGAATAAATATGGTTATGAAATACCAGAGGAATGCTGGCTCCCTATCCACACTGGAAACTATCATGATTAGTGCCATTTTGATGCTGGCGGACCCTAATGGCAACTCAACTGCTAATGTGGATGCTTTGAAAGAATGGAGGGAAGACAGAAATGGAGAATTTAAAAGGAAAGTTTTCCACTGTGTAAGAAAAAGCCAAGAAACTGCTTTTGAGTGAGATTTATTCAGCAGCTAGAAATTTCACTTATTTCAGGGTCTCCAATTGTGAAACATGGCACTGTTTTCCTGCACTCTACCCACCTACTGCTGGACTTCTGTCACAACAAGTTGGCAAACACTGGCTGGAACTGGGCTGCAATAAAGCATGCCAGTCATCAATGCTGATAAGAGCCTAACAAATGTCAACTTTCAGATGATTTCGCAGTCTGAATTCCAACGAACTCTTTTAACCTTCAGGAGGAATTGTAAAGACCTGTACATAGCACAACATGATCTGGACAATATATATACTGTTCATGTACATCCACATACACACCTTGCACCAAATAATGCTTTCTTGTAGTAGAATAAGAATTGTGTAAACTCTAAAAGATTTTAGCAGGTTTTCTTTTTGTTGTTGTTGTTGTTGTACTGGGGATTGAACTCTGGACCTTTCAAGGCAGGCGGCCGAACCACTGAGCTAAATCCCCCGCCCTGTTTCTTATCAGTTTTAAAAGACTCTTTGAGTCTTATCAGTGGTTCAGTCACCTGCTTTGCAAGTGCAAGGTCCTGAGTTCAATCCCCAGTACCAAAAATAAGACTCCTTAAAGAATGTCAGATGGGGCCAGGGATTTAGCTCAGTGGTTCAGCCACCTGCCTCACAAGCACAAGGATCCGAGTTTGATCCCCAGTACCAAAAAAAAAAAAAAAAGAATGTCAGATGAAAAGCGATTAGGATTAAAAGTTTCCATTTAATTTCTTTTAAAGCATTAAGGCTTCATTAAACTCATTTCACTTATTAAACTTTTCTATCTTCTTTGTTTTGACATACCCCCTTTTGCTTTTGTCTCTTCTGCCAGAAAGTCCTCAAATCATTTAGTTCAAATACTGAAATAGTTAATAAGGAGTTACTTGATTTTCAATGATGACACCAGAGTGGTCATCACTAGGTTCTTTGTCCTTTTTATATTCTACTTGCACCCTTGGATTGGATGTAGCAATAACATTTTCTGGCTGTTAAGAGCTCTTGAACCCAGTCATTATCCCCGAGAACTAAAAAAAAAAAAAAGCTGTTGCTTCTAAATTCAACTTACTGAAATTTACCCCAAACAATACAAAATTCTTGTTTGGTTTTTTGCCCTCAATTGCCCATTAAGAGTGGATAAATGAAGCATGCATAGCTACTGGCTTTTTACTTCTGGGTTTGCTATCAAAAGTGCTATTTGCCCTCATACCCTTCTTGGTCCTTCATATTTCTTTGCCTGTATTCTTCTATACTGCAGATTTTTCCTCACCTATTGTACAAAGAAATTGTGATGTGTATTTTCATGTAATTTGATTTTGGAATTCTGTCACCTTATGCAGTGAGTTCTTCCAATACACAATTTTTTTACAATTAAAAAAATGTGTTTTTTTAATAAAATGGAGTACTACTCAGCCATAAAGAATGAGAAATTAGAGACATTTATAGCTAAATGAATGCACATTGAGGCCATACTCGTAAGTGAAATAAACAGGACACACATGTGTAAATACTGAATCATTTCTCTGGTGTGAGAAACTGAAAGTGTAAATAAGGATCAAAATGTATAATGGATCATGTGAAATAGGAAGAAAAGGTCAAAAGGGGAATGGGAATTGGAAAGGGCAAGGGAAAGGAAAGAAGGGAAAGGAATAATATGAGAAAAGGAAAAAATGGAAACAAAGTCTTTGTAAATAGAGAGGGGTGGAGTGGTTGAAGGGAGGGCAGGGGAATGGGGGAAAAAAATAAGAACAAGATATATTATGTAAAGGTACAAATTCCCAATAATGAATGTCAGCATATTCCTAAAATGTACCAATAATCTTAATGAATGAAAAAAGAAAAAGAAACTACAAAAACAAAAGCAAAACAAAAAACAACAAAAAAAAATCTCTTCCTCTAGGGTAAGTCCCCCAGCCATATGTACTCTACTCTTTTCTCAGGACTTTGCTCACTTGTAATTTACTTGAAATTAACTATAATTAGTTATAATTTATTTGTAATTAACTTGCCCTCTAGATTGGCCATCTTTTTTCATAAGAAAAAAGACCTTGTCCATCATGTTCACCATTCCTACATTTAGGATTAGGCCTAGCACATGACAGACACTCAAGTATATATTGCTTACCTAACATTAAACATGCATATCGGCACTTGGGGGCTAGAAGATGCAAAGGTAAATACTAGTTTCCTGCCCTGAACAATTCCTCATCTAGGAATAGGGTAAAGGAGAAAAAGCAAAGATGGGAAGTGCTACACCCATAACAGATACAGAAGATGGAACCACTCAGTCTGCTTTCAAGGATCTGAATAGGCTTTTTGGAGGTGCAGACTTGCTCTCTGAACAAGAAGAGAAGGAAAAGGGCACAGGACAGAGAAAACAATGTGTCATAACTCAGAGGACCAGTCAGGTTATACTTGAAACCTAGAGTCTGTGAGAAAAGGGAGTAGGGGATGGCAAGCATGAAACCACCAGAGTCCAGGGCTCAGTTTGGACCTGGACTTGGAGGCAACACTGAGAACAAGGATTATAAACAGATCAACAACACTGTCAGATTAGGGAGATTTACCTTTTGTGGTGCTAGGGATTGAACCAAAAGCCTCATACATGATAAGCATGGATCTACCTCTGAGTTCATTACCAGCCCTAAAGTCTGGGTTTTTAAATGTCAATTACAGTACTTATTAATTGACAGATGTTAACAATTCTCATTAAGCTGATTTAGCCTCAAAACTTGGTGGCTTACAACAGTCACCATTCTATTTGCTCAAAGTTCTGAAGTCAGCAATTTAGGCTGCTGTCCCCAGGTTGGAAGGTCTAAGATGCACTCCAGCAGGATGATCCAGGCTTCTTCATGTGGTAGGAGAAATTACTTAGCTAAGATTAAGTGATCTATGCTCCTTCCCTTATCTATAAAATGGGACTAAGAAAGAGTATCTCCTAGGGTTTTGTGAGGATAAAAAACAAGGACATAAAACAATGTTTTCATAGCATGGTCCTGGCTCAAGCAAGTGTTCAAAACACACTGGTGGGGCCAGAGATTTAGCTCAGTGGTGCCGCCGCCTCCCTCGAAAGTGCAAGGACTGGAGTTCGATCCCTGGTACCAAAAAGAAACAAAACACCCTGGCGATTAGTGCCATTGCTACTAGTAGTTAGGTAATAAGGGTAACTGCAGCTTCTGGCTTGGGCAGCAGGGCAGAGACGGTACTGATGTGTGGAGATGATGAATGCATGTGAGAAGAGCAATAGTTAAAAGGGGGGAAAGTGGTGATTTGAGTTGGCCAATGAGGGTTCCTCTTGCCTTTCTTCCATTCAAGGACCTCAAACCCTGAGACCTTCTAACTCAAAGGTTTTTTAACTAGGGGTTTATAGATAGGTTTTAGGGGGCTAGACTACCGTTCAGTGGTAGAGTGCTTGCCTACCAAGTATGAAGCCCTGGGTTCAACCCTTAGCACTGCAAAAATATTTAAGTATTTATGTAAATTATTTTGGGGGGGGGAGATATCCAAATCCCTGAATGATGTGTAAAGTGCTATAGGGATCTTTTTTTTTTTCCCCTGAGATGGGCCAAAGCTTTTGGGGGGGGTGGTACTGGGGATTAAACCCAGGGCTGTAAACATGCTAAGCAAGCACTCTACCACTGAGCTACATCCCAAGTCCTTTTTATTTTAAAACAGGGTCTTACTGAGTTGTCCAGGATGGTCTCAAACTTATATCCTCCTGTCTTAGCCTCACAACTATGTGGAATTAAAGGGGTATTCCACTGTTTTATCAGTTTTTTCAAATGTTTAACTTGCAATTCTCCTGACTCAGCCTCCTGAGTAGCTGGGATTACAGGCATGAGCCAACTCATCGAGCCAAAATAAAGTTTAGGATGACAATGCAAGTACAAGCAAGGATGTGGAAAAGTAGGAATTCTCATACATTAGTGACAGGGATATAAAATGCTAGAGCCACTTTGAAAAACAGTATGGCAATATCTCATAAAGTTAAAAATACATTAACCACACAAAAAAATACATTAACCATATGACCCAACAATTCCACCTGTGTAGTTTCTCAGAGACAAGAAAACTTGTACACATAAAATCATTTATGTAAATGTTAGCACCATTACTAATGGCCAAAAATGGAAGCAACTCAAATGTTCACAAACTGTGATTTATCTATATCTATGGAACACAAGTCAACAATAAAAAGGAACAAATCATCAATAGTATTTTCAAAAACATTATACAGCACTAACTTGAAGAAGTCCAACACAAAAGATTATACTATATGTTTCATTTCCCAAGGTCAAGTATTTGAAAAGATTCACCAGCATCCACAGAGTATAGTCATCTCAGCTTTTTTTCTTTTTTTGGTTCTGGGGATCGAACTCGGGTCCTTGCACTTTCGAGGCAGGCGGCAGAACCACTGAGCTAAATCCCCAGCCCCTCAGCTTTTAATTTAAAGGCAAAGGATACAGAGCAGCAAGATAAAGACTATGCAGGTAAGCATCAGGAATCTGAGACATCCCATGTACAAGATCCCAGTGGCCCTTATTCACATGTGGACTGCACTGAGAGGGGGTCTGTGCCTGAATCACTATGATCTGTGTGAAGAATCCTTGCTTTGGGAAAGCTCAAATCAGAAGTTCCCAATATAAAGGGAAAGAAAGAAGGCAGGCTTCAGTGCTGCTTCCTGCCTGTACTGCCATGGACTGTTTCTCTGCAGTGCCCCTCTGCCATGCCACCTTGCCTTGGAGCCAGCAGACTATGACTGAAATCTCTACAAACTGTGAGATAAAAATAAACCTGTGCTGCTTACAAAGAAAGTTCCCAGGAAGGTTTTCACACTCCTCTGACCATGTAATCAAGCCACACACACATAAGCAGCTAGACCAGTTGCAAACTATCATTAAAGAAAGTAATCCTGGGGGCTACCAGAGGACAGTCAGATTTTAAGCAGACATTGTAAATCCCAATACCCTTATTTTGTCCAAGAGTGGAAAAGCTAGACATTCAGGTGTCTCAAAGATAAATATGAAGTTCTGGCAATCCAGTAGCAAATCAACTCTATCATCCACAATATCAAATTCTATAAAAGGCAAAATATAGGTCCAGGGATTTAGCTCAGTGGCACCACACCTGCCTCGCAAGCGCAAGATCCTGAGTTCAAGCCCTGGTACCAAAAAAAAAAAAAGGCAAAATATAGTGACAAAAAATCAGTAGTTACCTGTGACCTGGAACAGAAGGGAATGAATGCAAAGAAACAAAAGGAAATATTTTAGGAGATGGAATTAATTTCTACTTTTTTTTTTTTTAGTACCGGGGATTGAACTCGGGCTCTTGCGCTTGCGCAGCAGGCAGCAAAACCACTGAGCTAAATCCCCGGCCCAATTTCTACTTCTTGATGGTGATCATGGGTACACTATTATACACAATTACTGGGCTGGAGATTTAGCTCAGTGGCACCTTGCCTGCCTCGAAAGTGCAAGGTCCTGAGTCCAATCCCTGGTACTGGAAAAAAGAAAAGGAAAAGAAAAACAATTACCAAAACTCATTAGAGCTGGGAAGGTAGCTTAGTGCTACAGCACTTGCTTGGGATGCACAAGGACCTCCATTCAATCTCTAGCGCTGACCAAAAAATTAAACAAAACCTTAATAAACACATTAAAAACTGATGGAAGTCAAGCATGGTGGCACACACCTGTAATCGCATTACTCTGGGAGGCTGAGGCAGAAGGATCATAAGTTTGTTTTGTTTTTGGAGTACCAGGGATCAAACTCAGGACCTTGCGCTTTCAGGGCAGGTGAGGAGCCACTGAGCTAAATCCCCAGCCCATGAGCAAGTTTTAATATCTCTGCCATAAAGTGTGGGTGACCAGCTGGGAAGTCTGAGGCCTAATTGGTTTCTTCAGTGAGCACTAAGAAAGAGGGCTGACAACTGCAGGGAAAAGTAAAAACACCTGAGACTGTTTGACAAGTACCATGGTAGAAGGGAGACAGATGAATCCTGTGTAACTCTAATTGCTTGTGCCCGTGTCTGACTAAATAAAGCCAAGGTTTGCCAGTCACTTGGGGCTCTATGCAGAAGGGAAACGTGAGTTCCCTGGCCCCCCAGATTTTAACCTGATTCTGTGTCTATTTTTCATCCTCGTCACCCCTTGGTGAGGTCTGAGCTTGTAGGCTGGTTCCTAGAATAAAGGTTATCTTTTTTAAGGCTAATGTTACAAAAATATAACTACATAACCGTCATGCTATCAGTAAATTATGTAATGTTGCCCTCAAGCACATTGTGAGAAGTGAATTCCAGTGATGCTGGGAAAAGCACTGAGGGATTTGGAAGTGGGCTAAAGGACAGGCACCAGAGCTCAGCCACAGATTAGAAACAAGAACAAAAACTGCATAAGGTCCTCAGTTCAATCTCTAGTACCACAAAGCAAAACATTAGGAGATGCCCAGATACTTCAGCAAAATGAGGTGAGTTCCCAAATACTCTTAACAGCTCTCTAGCTCCCTGTCCCACAGGAGCTCATGCCATGTTTGCTGCTAGAAGAAGGAACAAAGGAAGAAATGCACAAGAGTGTGACATCCCTATAGGAGAAGCAGTTTCTCCAGCCACACAGTAGTGTCACTGACAGCAGAAGGAACGGTCAGAATTATTCAGCTCAGGAGAGCTTTCTCAATATGAGTAAGAAGATTATCATGCACAGGCTTAACATATTTAGTTACTTGCTCTTCAAATTAGATCACGGGGAACTAGGAAGGCTTGCTGGGCCTGTCAACTAATCAAGAGGAACTTACCTCAAGTGTGAGGGAGGAGCTATAACCAGAGGCCTGTAACCAGGCTCAGGCACCTTGGAGCTAGTATTCAGCAGCTGCAGCTGGGAACAAACAGAACTAAAACAGGACCTGGACTGACATGAAGCCCCCAATAATAGCCCCAGATCTATGGAGCATCAACAATTTTATTGGCTAACTGCTTCTTCCCAAGTTTACAGCTTATAGTGTAGGCCTGCTCATTCGTTCCTCCTGCTAACCCTCAAACAGGGTAGCAACCTTTAGCACAGATGTGGAGGCGGGGCAGAGGTATAAGTGAGCTAGAAACCTGCTGATGCTCCACAATTGGACATCAGGACATACAAACTCCTAATTCCTACTGCTTAAAACTGTCTTCATAAAAACTGGAAGATGGAGACAGGATCCACAGTGTGTATCTGCCAATGGTCTTGGTTTCTGGTTCCTCCAACAGAATACACCCTTTGTCTTCCTACTTCAGGAACAGGGTGATGCTATGTCAGCCTACGCATTTTGCAGAAGTACATAGGCCCAAAATTGGCTATCAGGTTTGGCAATACCAGCTCGCCAACCTGGCAGGATTGAAAGAAACAGAATGTGTCCATGAAAAGTTTTCGGAAGTGAGACAGGTCTTCCACCTGAACCTTGATGCTGTATTGGTTGGCCAGAAGCTCAATGGTGCCTTGCACCACATACTCGTTCTGTAAATGTGACAGTGAGCAAGTGGAATAGACAACGTGGCCTCCTGGTTTGGTGGCAAGAAGTCCAGCCCTGAAAACAGAAAGAGAAAGAAGCAATGACTAGTGAGCTTCCCAGCAGTAGAAGGAGCAAATAAAGAGCTACTACACAATGGGTAGCTGAATTAGTCACTTAAGTCCCTTCTATGATGACACTGCCTGAAAACTTATTCTCAAGGCAGAGACCAATCCAACCTTATTCCATGGTCTCTCTTCTGGGAAGCCTTACTTTGTATCTGGACTGGTTATGGACTAAACCCTGAAGCTGGTTATACACTGAGTCTTTTTTTTTTTTTTTGGTACTGGGGATCGAACTCGGGTCCTTGTGCTTGTGAGGCAAGAACCACTGAGCTAAATCCCCAGCCCCATACACTGAGTCTTTACCCCAACCCTCAGTAGTTCATTTTCTTTTCCTTTTTCCCTCCCTCCTTCTCTTCCTTTTTTTTTTGTGGGGTGGGGGGGGGCTTTGAGACAGGGTTTTGCTATGTAATCCAGGCTGGCCTTGAACTTATGGTGATCTTCCTGCCCCAGCCTCCCCTAAGTGCTAAGATTATAGGCATATGCCATCATCCCCAACTTTTCTTTCCTTTTTTTTTAAGAAGCAGTCTCGGGGCCAGGGATTTAGTTCAGCGGTTCTGCCACCTGCCTCACAAGCACAAGGTCCCGAGTTTGATCCCCAGTACCAAAAAAAAAAAAAAAGAAGCAGTCTCACTACTTTTGCCCAGGAATTTAGGGCAGCCCCAATCTTCTGGGCTCACGTGATCCTCCTTCCCAGCCTTTCAAGTAGCAGAAACCACAGATACACACCGCTGAATCTGGCAATAGCTCTTTTTCAAATATGCAAGTCACTGGTACAGGGGGCAACGGAGCATGAGTAAATTTGTGCACTGCACCCTGGTATATCCTATTAGGGTATTGTTTTGTTTTGTTTTTTTGGTACTGGGGATCAAACTCAGAACCTTGAGCTTGTGAGGCAGGCAGTGGAACCACTGAGCTAAATCCCCAGCCCTAGACAGGGTTTTTTTGGGGGGTTTTTTGGTACCAGGGATCAAACTCAGGTCCTTGCGCTTTCGAGGAAGGTGGCAGAACCACTGAGCTAAATCCCTGGGCCTAGATAGGGTTTTTAATGTTCCAGAAAAGGACTATCGCATCTCCTCCAGGCAAATCTCCAGCTATAAGACCCTTCTATGGGTGACAGTCTTGGCAAAAGCTTCTGGTTCCCCCAATCTTCCAGTGACCAGACTCCTAGAGCACTCTGGCACAAACCCTTGAGTTTTTGTAAATCTATCACTCACGCTAGTAGCTGCAATTGCAGCATAGGCAACATCTGTCGCTCCTTCTTCCTTGACCGTTGAAAAATGTTATTCTCTTCCTCATGAAGCGAGTGGCGGTCTGTGGTACAGGGCACATCTACCAGTACCTGCTCAGAGTTAAAGGGTAAAGCATTAAAGTTCCTTAAAGACTCTTCCTACTGAGGCCAGAGCTGTCTTAGCCCCTTGGCCTAGAAGGTTCATGTTCCCTCTGCCCATCCCTCCATTTCAGAGAACCTGACAAAGCTACTCATTTTAGCCTCTTAGACAACTGTGAAATATTGAGTGGGAAAATAGTATATTCAGCAATATTTATGAATAGTCAAAAAGCCGAAACCAACACACAGATAAATATAAAATTAAAGAACTGCTATCAACTAAGAAAAAGTTTTAGTGCTTCAGGGATGTGTCCTTACCTACTTGGATGAAAACATCCAGTTCATAGATGATACAATGCTCAATTTATAGATAATATTGAATAACAAAATCAGGATTCAAAATTAAATTAAAACAATGTCCGATCTAATATGGAAAAGTTTTAAAGTAAGAAATACAAAATCATTCATTACAAAGAGCCTACTGAATAAAAACAAAAATTTTGGACCAGGGATTTAGCTCAGTGGTTCTGCCGCCTGCCTTGCAGGTGCAAGGTCCCAAGTTCAATCCCCAGTTAAAAAAAAAAAAATTTTTCTTTTAAACTTTTTTGTTTCAAAAAGTAAAATCATCTTTGAAAAAGATCTGTTTTAGTTAAACAGGAACTCTAGGCAAATTAAAAACTGATCCAGTGTTCAACATCCTGATGTGTTCCCAGCTGCCTTGATAGAAAAATGATCACCTTGTATTCTAGTCAGACCATGCTGAACTGTGATGGGGCTGCCCTTCACAGAAAAAATGAAATATTAACTAATGGTGATACCCACAGAAGGAACACTGCAATGTTCTAGAAACCATATCATAGAAGAGTTTTATACCTCTTGATTCTAGTAATGTAGTAAATTAGATATACTAAAAATTGTTATAACACAAAACTTTAAAAAGGCTGGGTAAAATGTATTTTAAAAATATGTTCAGGGCTGGGGATTTAGCTCAGTGGTTCCGCTGCCTGCCTCGCAAGTACAAGGTCCTGAGTTTGATTCCTGGTACCAAAAAAAAATGAAGTGTGACAGAAATATGTTCAAATGTAGCACTCAAAATTACAAAAGCCTCCAGAAGGAAAAAAAAAAGACAGGACAATAAATCCAAAGAGGCATGTAGGAGCTAAATTAATGGCTTCTGGGGTTGTTTTGTTTTGTTTTCAGTACAGTCCTGGGGACTGAGTCCAGAGCCTTCATGCTGAGCAACATCTCCAGCCCTTTTGCTTGAGATTGTGACTTGCTAAATCACTAAAGTGCCCAGCCTAGATGGCTATCTGCTATCCTCCTTTCTCAGCCTCCTAGAGTTCTGGGATGCCACCACACCCAGCTAATGGTTTATGTTTTTTTTACTAATCCCTATTAACTAAAAGCCTAGAAGGACAAAAAAACAGTGCATTTCCCACATGAGGTGAGAAACTGGAATGGAAACCCACAGCAAAACCAAATCTTCAAAGAGCATGCTAGTAAACAAATACCTTCTGCTTTGAGCTGGCTCCTGAAATTTAATACCCTAGATACAGAGGAAAGCTGGAAAAAGAACAGCCCTCACAAAGACCAACCCTGAGTCAGCCTAAATTGAGTGAATTAAAATGGTATGCCTTAATGTTAAACTGTTGCCCTGAAGCAAATCAAAATCTTTTTAAAGGAAGCTGGCAGCATGTACAGCCTCAGATAATTCTTTATATACAGCATTGGCAATCAAAGTTACAAATTACTAACTTACCAGAAGATAAAATTCAAATCACCGAAAAACCACGAGAAGCTGGGCATGGTAGCATATGCCTATAAGCCCAGCACCTAGGAACCTGGGAACCTGTATTACATAGCAAGACTCTCCCTCAAAACACACACACACACACACACACACACACACACACAAAACAAAACACAAAATAACAACAGCAAATGCCCCAAGAGGCCACCGTGTTCTCTCTTGCATGATGGCCCACCCTCATGCTACATAGTGTACTTCTTTTCCTACTTTTACTTGCCCCAAACTCACTCTGCAGAGCTTTTTCTACCTTTAATGAAACTTTGCTACCATTTGTGCTTGTCTTGACCAATTCTTTGTGCAGGACAGGAAGAACCTAGAAACTACATCCAGGAGGAGGCTCCAGCACCCTAAAACCCATTAACATATTTGGCATAGCCAGCCAAAAGGAACAGGCAAGGCCCTTTTGGATACAATTTTTGTTTCTCTCTCTAAAATGCCACAAAGGTTTTTTAGGTTGGGGAACTCAGGAGACTCTTCTCATGGCACTGGGAACTGTTTCCTGCTTTTCCATATGTATATGTGAGTTGGTGTGGTGGCGGTGTGCATGGCCTCTGCGATTTTCTTCCAGCCGTAGGAGGCCTACAGGGCCCGTTTGAAGTTTATCTCCCCTTTTCTTCTCTTTCCAATTTTTGGTCAGTCATTGCAGATACAAGTCAGTAAAGAGCAGCCAGAGAGCCTGCTACTAACCCAGTTGCAGAACAGCTCGTCCAGGTGCCATGTATGTGACCTAGTATGTAGGAAAAAGCAAGATAAAAGTACATCCTGGAGGAAGCAGGCCCACCCTAACCCTAACACAGCCCTGCCTCTCAGGACCTGTATGTAGAAGTTCTTGTGGGTTTCGAGATCTGGACAGCATAAAAGGACACAGATGCCAAGAAGAGCTTGCTATTGTGGCTTTCCTCACCATAGCCCGCTCTGCTTCCTCCAGGGTGTTCTTCTATCTTGTTTTTTCCTTTTACTCGGCCCAACCTCACACTGCAGAGCAAGCTTCTCCCTCACTCTTCACTTTTACTTTTTCAAATAAACTTTGCCACTGTTTTTTGCTCATTTTGTTCAATTCTTTGTTCAAGACAGAAGAACCTGGAATCCAACTCCAGAAGGAGATACCAGCATCACAAAACCTGATAACATTTATTTGATGAGCCACTTTTAGAAGGAGCTACCTGATAACAGAGGTGTCACTAAGTGGTAGAACATGTATTCAGTATGCATGAGGCCCTGGGTTCAATCCTCAGCACCACATATACACACAAAAATATGATAGCAGAAGCAGACTCATATGAGACAAGATACTGAAATTATGAGAACTAAGTGTTTCAAAAAAAAGAAAGAAATGTTTCAAAAAGTCACAACATAAAAAGTTAGATGAAAAAACTTTAAAATTAACAAAACTTTAAAATTTAAAAAAATCAGAAATCCTAAAACTGTAAGATACAATAACTAAGAATGCAATAGATATATTTAATCACATATTAGACAGTGTTGAAGAAAGAACTAGTGAATTAAGTGAAAATATTCATACTGAATCATGAGAAAAAAGAACAGAAATACAAGAGTAAAAAACAGGGGTTAGTGAATTAAATAAAAATAAAATATACAGCTAAGCCTGGTGGCACACACCTGTAATCCCAGCACTTGGGAGGCTGAGGCAGGAGGATCACCACATATTTGAGGCCAGCCTGGGCTACACAGTGAGTTCAAGGCCAGCCTGAACTACATAGCGAGACCTTGTCTCAAAAACAATAAGAACAAAAATAGGGGCGTAGGATATAGCTCAGTGGTAGAGCTACACTTTGCCTAGTATGCACAAGGCCCTCAGTTTGGTGTTCAACATCACCACCACAAAAGAGAGAAAGACACAGAGAGACAAAGGGAAAGAAGGAGGAAGAAGAAGAGGAGAGCTAGAGGGGGAGGAGGGCCAGGGATATAGCTCAGAGGTGCCACGTCTGCCTGGCAGGTGCAAGGTCCTGAGTTCAATCCTGGTACCAAAAAAAAAAAAAAAAGAGGAAAGAGGAGGAGGAGGTAGAGGAGGTAAAGAAGGAAGAGCAGGAGGAGGGAGGAGGGAAGGAAGGAGAGAGAAGAAAAGTAAAACAGTGGGACATGGTAAAGAAGCATAAAATACATGTGATTATAGTTCCAAAATCATAACAGACAAAAATGAAGCAGAAAAAATATTCAGAGATAATAGCGAAGAATTTTCTAAAACTGCTAACAAAATCAAGACATGGATTCAAAACGCACTCTTTCCAAACTGGGATCAAGGTGGAAGACAGAAAAACACTGGCAACATAAATTTCTATGTTCAGTAAAATTATCTTTCAAATTAAGTGCTTAGAGTCAATATAATTGCTGATGAGAGCACCAAAGACTTTGTTTTACAAATTGACAATCTGATTCTAAAATGTATGAAAAAGCTGGGCATGATGGCACACGCCTGTCATCCCAGCACTCAGGAGGCTGAGTCAGGAGGATTGTTGTGAGTCTGAGGCCAGCCTGGGCTACATAGTGAGTTCAAGGCCAGCCTGAACTACAAAGCAAGACCTTGTCTCAACCAAAAAAAAAGAAAACAAAGAAAGAAAGAAATTTTAAGTGGATGTCCTAAATCAAGAATTACTGGTCTGGGGATTTAGCTCAGTGGTTCTGGTGCCTGCCCTGCAAGTGCAAGGACCCGAGTTCGATCCCCAGTCCAAAAAAAAAAAAAATTATACTTTTGGGGGCCGGGGATTTAGCTCAGTGGTTCTGGTGCCTGCCCTGCAAGTGCAAGGACCCGAGTTCGATCCCCAGTCCAAAAAAAAAAAAAATTATACTTTTGGGGGCCGGGGATTTAGCTCAGTGGTTTCGCTGCCTGCTGCGCAAGCGCAAGGTCCCAAGTTTGATCCCCGGTACCAAAAAAAAAAAAAAAGAATTACTCACTCGGTCATAAGTGTCCCCTTCCAGTTCTCCCCACTTCCTTCCGTCCCAAGAAGTGACTCGAATTTGATTCCTTTCCCTGATACCTTGAGGCACATAGCTTTGAAGGACCTTCCGTAGTCTACCTGTCCGAGAAGTGGACAGATCGTTGGCAGCAAGGTTGCCTGTGCAAATAAAAATACTTCAGAAACCATAGCCCAATAAAACACCCCACCAGCAATGGTGCTGATGCAGACTCAGATCAATTCTTAGGCACAGCCAGTCAACACAGACCCCGTGGATAGAGATGTGTGTTGTGTACACCGCACTGCATCAACTCTCTGGAGGGTAGGTTGCCAGGGCAGACACATATAGGGCACATCCACCAGCACCTGGTGGCCAAGAAAGGCTATTAAATAAAGGAGGCCAAATAAGAATATTTATTTCTAAGGAAACATGCTCTCTTCCATCCTTTTGTTTCTTGGTTTTTGGTTTTTTTGAGGCAGTGTCTCACTATATAATTCAGGCTGGCTTTGAACTCCAGGTGATTCTCCTGCCTCAGCCTTCCAAGTGCTGGAATTACAGGTGTGCACCACCACGCCTGATTTTTTTTTTTTTAAATCTCACTCAAGTGAGGCTCAAGTGATCCTCGTATCTCAGCATCCTGAGTAGCTAGGATTACAGGTACATGCTACCACACCCAGAAACCCACAATTTTCTTTTGTTTTGGTACCGGATCGAACTTGGGTCCTTGCGGTTTCGGGGCAGGTGGCAGAACCACTGAGCTAAATCCCCAGCCCCACTATTTTTCCTTTTTTTCAGACATTCTCACTCTGTAGTTCAGGCTGGCCTTGAACTATGTATCCCAGGCTGACTTCAAACTCATGGTGATCCTCCTGCCTCAGCCTCCCAAGTGTTGGGATGACAGGCAGTGGTCATCACAAACCCACTATTCTTTTGTTTTGTTTTGTTTTTTGAGACAGGGACTCACTATGTAGTTCAGGCTGGCCTTGAACTCACTATGTATTCCAGGCTGATGTTGAACTCAGGGCAATCCTCCTGCCTCAGCCTCCCAAGTGCCGGGATTACAGATGTGTGCACCACACCTAGCTGAACCCACTATTCTCAAAACATTCTGCTCTCTCTCTTTTTTGCACTGAGCTATGTCCCCAGCCCTTTTTATTTCTATTTTGAGACAGTGTCTTGCTAAGTTGCCCTAGCTGGGCTTGAATTTGCAATTCTCCTGCCTCAGCCTCCCAGAGTGCTAGGATTAAAGGCATGCACCCAGCTTCATTTCATTTTTTTTGACAGACATGGATTATAGAAATATCTCACAGCTGATACCCAGTCTAAAAGAAGAGGCAACAAGGGAGGTGGGAACTGGAGAGTATATACCTTATGTAACAGTAACAGTCACTACCATGAACCAATTTAGTATCCCTGCAGAGAAATGTCCCAATTTTCTTCTTTTCTTTCTTTGTTTTTGTTTTGTTTTGTTTTTCATACTGAGGACTGAACCCAGGACCTTTGCACTAAGCTACATATTCACCCTTTTAAATTTTTAATTTTGAGATATGATCTCACTAAATTGTGAAATTGACTGAGCTGGCCCCAAACTTGCAATCGTTCTGCCTCAGCTTTCCAGAGTGCTGGGATTACAGGTGTGTGCCACCACGCCCAGCTAAAAATGTCCCAGTTTTTGAAGACACTCAACAATGTAAAAATCAGATTCTCTGCTCTAGAGGAATTTTCAGAAGAGAAAAGACAGGTTCTAGTTCTGGCTCTACCTCCAACTCTTGTAAAATTTGTTTTATAATTTCACCAGAGTTGTTTCCCCCTTTATAAAATGGGAGGGCTGGACTTAGGAGGTAAACTCTTAAGTTCCTTTCTTGCACTAAAATTCTGTGACCCTGTTTTCCTGGAATCAGGAAGTTAGTCATGTGGGTGAGGAGCTGGGACGAAGGCAAGGTGCTGGTAACTCAGCACACCTCAAAACAGCAACTCTCAATTATATCGCCTTTGCCCTTTTCCCTCCTCTTAGCTCAAGTTCTCCCATTCCAAGTGATCTTACCCTCATCTCCTTTCTAAAGGATTCTCACAGCACTCAGGCAGATCAGCACAGCCCAGTACACAGGTCAGGCTCTCTTTCATGGGATGTCCACATCTTTTCTCCTCTCCCTCTAGACTTCTACAAGCCTGAGACCAGATGTAATAGCTCTCTGAATCAGCCATGGGCCTACAATGAGGCTGGAGGCTAATTGGAATTGTGCAAGCTGGCTGACAAGAACTGGAATAGAAGGATTCAGGGACACAGAAAGGCTCAGGTACAAGAGAAACCTGGCAAAGTTCCAGGTCAGGCATGAAAATCACAGACCCTTGTGGCTACTTCTCAGATCCCCAAGGAAAAAAACTATGATTTTAAAAAACAGTGTACAGTATTTTTTTTTCCAGTACCAGGGATCGAACTTAGGACCTTGCACTTGTGGGGCAGGCACAGCGTCACTGAGCTAAATCCCCTGCCCTGTTGTACAGTATTTTAAGGCAGTATGTTGGCCAGCAGATGGCTGAAGTGAGCACTTACAGTGCAGAAGGCCCAGGCTTGCCAACTGAGATAAATAAGACTCAGGCTGAGACTGGGACTGTAGCTCAGTGATAAAGTGCTTGCCTAGCATATGGATAGCTCTGAGTTCAATCCCCCAATAATGGGGAAAAAAGGACCTGAGCTGTCCCCAAGAAATTCACAATCTTTTTTTTTTTTTTTTGAGACAAAGTTCACTACATAGTTCAAGATGGATCTGAACTCACTATGAGGCCCAGGCTTGCCAACTGAGATAAATAAGACTCAGGCTGAGACTGGGACTGTAGCTCAGTGATAAAGTGCTTGCCTAGCATATGGATAGCTCTGAGTTCAATCCCCCAATAATGGGGAAAAAAGGACCTGAGCTGTCCCCAAGAAATTCACAATCTTTTTTTTTTTTTTTTGAGACAAAGTCTCACTACATAGTTCAAGATGGATCTGAACTCACTATGTAGCCCAGGCTGGATTTAAACATGAGAGAATCTTCCTGCCTCAGCCTCCCAAGTGGTGAGATTATAGGTGTGCACCACCATACCCACCTTAGAAATTCATAATCTTTTTTTTGGTACCAAGGATCGAACTCAGGACCTTGCGCTTTCGAGGCAGGCAGCGGAACCACTGAGCTAAATCCCTGGCCCAGAAATTCATAATCTTGAAGAGGGAAAGATTTGTATCTAGTAAAGCTCTGAAGTAAAGCTAATGGGTTAACAGCTGCAAGGGTGATGCTCCTGGTGTGGGGGCACAGAAGAAAGAGGGATCATTTCTGAACTGGCCTGAGGGAAGACTTCCTGGAGGTGGCACCCTGGAGCTGAGGCTGGAAAGCTTAACAGATTTAGACAACCCAGCTTGAGTAGGGAATTCTTTAAACTGTAACAGGAACAAAGCCTTATTCAGCCAACAGAGAGGAGCAGGGTATGGCTGAAGCACATAAAGCCTGGGGAAGAGTGATATATAAACCTCTAAGTGAGGCTTCAACCAGATCTTACTGTTTTAGCTGGCAGGCCAAAGAACTAAGACTTAATCTTAGAGACAAAGCAAACACATCCAATGGGATTGGTCATGTGATGAACTGGAGTTTTGCTTTAATCTGCCTTTAGCGGCCTTGCTCAGCAACCTTCCTTGACCAGTTGACAAAAAAAGAGGCAATAAACTGCAAATAAAAAATACACTTAGCAAGCAAGAACTATTTCCTCTCTGACCTTGGGACCAGAAAGCTCACCAGAAAGTCATTCAGTGTGACTAGGTGAGGTGGGGAGTCATCCCTGCCCAAGACATCCGTGCCCTGACTTACGGCAACACAGAGTTTGAAGCAACGCTAGTGTCTTTCCCCCAGGGGCTGCACACAGGTCAAGCACAGTGTCCCCGGGGTGAAGGCCAAGAGCCAGGACAGGTAGCAAGGAGGCGGCATCCATCAGGTAGTAGTCCAGGACACCCAGGCTGCCAAGTCTGGAAAAGAGACCATCTTAATGTTAAATTCTTGGGGAAAAAAAAAATTCTTAGTCAGGAGGGCTGGGGATGTAGCTCAGTGGTGCCACTGCCCGCCTCAAAAGCACAAAGTCCCAAATTTGATCCCCGGCACCTAAAAAAAAAAAAAAAAAAATTCTTGGTCAGGACAAGCCTGGGAGTCAACACAACCAAGTCCATGCCCCCAGGGGCCACTGAGCTTCACTCAGTGAAAAACTAATTTCTCAGACACACTCAATTATTCTCTCTCTCATTCATTCATCTACAGTGTCCAGGGTGAACCTTTGTAAAAACAGATCAAGCTGGGCCGGGCATTTAACTCAGTGGTTCTGCCGCCTGCCTTGTAAGTGCAAGATCCTGAGTTCGATCCCTGATACCAAATAAATAAATAAATAAAAATAAAACAGATCAGACTGGGTATTGTGGCACATGCCTGTAATCCCAGTACTCTGAGAGGCTGAGGGAAGAGGACTGCAAGTTTGAGACTAGCCTGGGCAACTTAGCAACTTAGATCCTGTCACAAAATAAAAAAGGGCTAAGGACATAGCTCAGTGTAAGGGCCATGGGTTCAATCTCCAGTACCACCAAAAGAAAAAAAAAAAAATCAATTCCCTGCAATTTAGCCACACCAGCCATCTGCTATTTCTGTCTCAGGCCTTAAAGCTGCTGTGCCTTCTGCCTGCAATACTCTTCCTTCAAACATCCCCATGTGCCTGGTCATTTCTCTCAGATCTCTCCTCAAAAGTTACAGGGGGCCGGGAATGTAGCTCAGTGGCACCGCACCTGCCTGGCAACCACAAGGTCCTGAGTTCGATCCCCAGTACTAGGGGGAAAAAAAAGCTACCTCATCAGAACCACTAGCATTCCCTGACTATTCTATCTAAAATAACAGCCCTAGGGGCCAAGGATTTAGATCAGTGGTTTCGCCACCTGCTGCACAAGTGCAAGGACCCAAGTTCAATCCCTGGTACCAAAAAAAATAAATAAAATAAAACAACAGCCCTTATTCCCATTACCTTCTATCTCTCTAGCCTGCATTATTTGTACTTAAAGCACTTTATATGTATAGATGTTTGTGTTCTGTTTCTTTCTTTTTTTTTTTTTTGTATTAAATGTGTGTTCTGTTTCTTGATCTTGGCCTATTGGAATGTTAACCCCATGACAGGAGGGATTTTGTCTGCTCTGTTCATTATAATATCCACAACTCCTGAAGTGCCTGGCACAAAGTAGGAACTCAGTTTTATTGGGTTACATAGTGAAATACAAAATGCTTTACAGGCCGGTGATTTAGCTCAGTGGTTATGATGCCTGCTGCTCAAGCTCAAGGACCCAAGTTCAATCCCCTGTACCAAAAAAAAAAAAAAAAAAAAATTCTTGGTCAGGA